CGGAAGTGGCACTGTAGCTCAAGTGGTAGAGCGCTCGCCTTGAGCTGAAGAGCTGAGGGACAGCGCCCAGGCCCAGAGTTCAAGCCCCACAACCGCCAAAAAAAAAAAAAAAGCTACTGGTTCAAAATGTAGATTTGTGTTACACAAACACATAACACAAGCACATACACCCACATGCATACACAATTTGGTATTAGACACAGGTTTTTGCAGTAGTACATTTATCAAGGAGCAATTACTGTCTGAAAGCATAATGTTACTACCATAGGTATTGAGTGGATTTATATTTATTTTTTATGAACAAGAAGGCATAAAGAATTACTCATGGTATTTCAACACACTGATTTCCTAGTTCTTTAAGAACTAGGAAAAATAAAGTTGAGAAATAGATTTTTAAAATAGTACTATCTACTCTTTGTTACAGTTATAAAAGCCTTACAGTAAAGACAGCCAGGTAACTGTGAATAATAAACATCCTTATTAAAATACCTCAATACTTGGTGTCTTGAAATTATTTTTTATTGAATGGAAAGCTACCACATTTATCTATGTAACTAGAGACTTATGCAGCTTAATTTATGCATACTAAAATTTTAATTGTAGAATAATATATTAAACTAATGTCTTATGATTGAGCATTAAGCTGTTTATAATTTTCAAAATTATCTTTCCTGTCTTCATGCTAAGATTAATTCTAAATTACAGCATCTGTTCAGAAGCTGTTTTCAAGTCTAGTCACCTCAAAAATACTTTTTAAAGTAGCTGAGTATGGTAGTATATGCTTATAATTCCAACCACTGGTGAGGTAGAAGTGGGAAGATTGTAGTTGGAGGCAAGCCAAGCAAAAATTGTGAGACCCTACTGAAAAAAATAAACTAAGAGCAAAATGACTGGCAGTATGGTTAAAGAAGTAAAACAGTTGCAAGGCCCTAAATTCAATACCTAATACTGCCTAAAAGGAAAAAAAAAACAAAAAAACTATAAGAAAGTAATTTCATTGTGAAGATTACAGAATGCATTAGGGTTAGACCTTACATCTATGAAATTTATTTGTAATTTAATTATGTTAGCCAGACATACCAGTGGCTCACACTTGTAATTCTAGCTACTTGGAAGGCTGAGATCTGAGGATCACAGTTCAAAGCCAGCTCAAGCCAGAAAGTTGATGAGATGCTTATCTCCAGTTAACCACCAAAAAGCCCAAAGTGGAACTGTGTAGCTTAAGTTGTAGGGTACTGGCCTTGAGCACAAAAGATGTTATACAGTGTCCGAGTCCTGAGTTCAAGCCCCAGAACCAGTACACACACATATATATTTTTTTGTTTTTTAGAGCACTGGTGGTTCATATCTGTAATCCTAGCTACTCAGGAGGCTGAGATCTGAGGATCACGGTTCAAAGCCAGCCTGGGCAGGAAACTCCGAGAGACTCTAATCTCCAATACACAGCTAGAAAACTGGAAGTGGCGCTGTGGCTCAGGTGGTAGAGCGCTCACCTTGAGCAGAAGAGCTGAGGGACAGTGCCCGGGCCCAGAGTTCAAGTTCCACAACTGGAAAAAAAAAAAAAGCATTAATTTACTTAACATAGGCCATAAAATTTCTGCCCAAATAATCTACAGTCTATTACTAGTTTCAACTAAATTTTATCAATGTTTCCAAAACAACTTTTTTTTTCTTGACTGTCCTAATTTGGACACTACATCTAGTAAGATTTCCCTCCTTCCTTCCCTCTTTCCTTTCCTCCTCTTCCTCTACCTCTACCTGATACTTGGGGATTTGCAATCATGCCCTGAATCATACTAAATACATGTGCTATCACTGAACTACACTTTCTTTTCCATAATTCCTTTTCAAATTTCTACTACATTTCCATTTTCCTGTAAAATTTTTCAAGAAAAAAGAACATTTGCAAGTGGATTCTTAAGACAATTTTATGATTAAATACAGATTCAAACATTGAACAGTTACCTTCTGTGAATAACATAGCTATATAAAATAGTTACCTTCTGTGAATAACATAGCCATATAAAATAATAAAGAGAAGTCTAAAAATGTTGCCATCAAATTCATAGTATGTATATATTCTTTTTTGTTAGTATCCTGCTAATCACCTTATTCATGAAAGAGATTAGTTTGCCTTTTTTTTCTCATGGTGCTGGAGACCAAAACAAGTGCTCTTGCCAGACAAGCATTGTAACATTGAGCTTTACTCTAGCCCTACCATTGTTTTTGCAGAATGTTTAGCCTTAGATTTATTTTGTATTTTTTATTTCGGGGGATTTGAACTTAGGGCCTGAGCACTGTCTCTGAGGTTTTGTGCCTAAGGCTAGTGTTCTACCACTTGAGCCACACTCTACATCCAGATTTTTGCTGGTTAATTGTAGATAAAAGTCTCAAAAATTTTCCTGCCCATCTGGTTTTGAACTGAGATTCTTAGAGCTCAGGCTGCTTAGTACTCAGTAGCACCCTGCTGGCCTTAGATTTTAATTTAACAAAAAATGAAAAGCTAACCTCTTATTCTGTCTCTTAAAAGTCTTGGTTATAGGATAAAACATTTGTAATGTCAATCAAAGTCCATTAAATAATGAAAAACCATGCCATTGCTTATTACTGATTCATGTCACCAAGAATGCTACAAATTGGTCTGATTTGAAAGTTGAAATTACAGTGCTTTGGTTACCTTTGATTCATACTTGAAAGTCATTCATTTATTTCAGGAACATTGTTGAAGCCTTATTTTCTATTATGCTATAATTATACAAATAATATGTAAGTATATTCTTGCTATGAAAACTCACAAGCCCTATACACTGTCATTCACTCTCAGAACAACCCTTGCTGTTGTCTTTGTTTATTCACAGGAGTCCAGTTACTTGCTCTTTTAGTTCCCACTTTGATCTCTTACCTCCTGGATGAAAAGTCTTTTGCCTCAGCAAGTTCAGCTTCCAAAGATCTTCATGAGTTTGCACTCCAGAATTTAATGCATATTGGACCTCTATATCCACATGCCTTCAAGACAGTAATGGGGGCTGCTCCTGAATTGAAAGTGCGTCTAGAAACTGCTGTTCGAGCAAGTCAAGCCAGCAAAGCTAAAGCAGCTGCCAGGCAGCCAGCCCCCACCACACAATCTACACCAACAATTAAGCTGAAAACGAGTTTTTTTTAATATCACTTTCAATTTATTTTTATTTATATTCCATCTAGTTAGTGATAACCACAGTATCATTCCAAGCTGTATGTTCTGTCTTATTTGTATATTCGTATTCTAAAGCTTCCAAGTAGGCTAAGTGAAATAATGTTCACACCATTACTGATTTTTAAAGTGATTTTTCAATCATGTATGAATTTATTTTCTGTATCGTTTATATAATTATTCTATATTTTGTTTTCATTTTATTTATTCATTGGGTTCTTTTTTTAAGTGCCAGGGATCCAGCCCTGGTCTTGTTCATGCTAAATAAGCATGCTTTGTACCTATTGAGCCCATAATTCACTTATTTTTTAAACATTGAGCCATGGTCTTTTATATGTTAAAAATGTAATTGTATCATGTAATTGGAAACATGGGTATTAACAGGGAAAAATAGGTCAAAGTTTAGCATTTGTCATGAAAAATTTAACTGAAAAACAAGCAGATTTTAAATTTGGAAGTAGCCTAAATGGTAGGAAATCTCTGTTTCATGGTGTATATATTGTGAATAAAATCACATTTTCTAACCATTTCTGAAAATACCATTATCTTTCTGGTGGATCTTTTAGCTTTCATATTAAATTACGTAGGCTTGCGTATGTTTTGGCTGTTAACTAAAATTCTCACTTAAAAGTCCATTAAAATGTTTCCAATGTGGTAAAATGTTATACTTTCTTTAGTGGCTAAAATTTGGCCTAACTTGTGTCTTGTAAATAGTTTTAGTCATCAAATATTTTTTGGATGTGTAGAGTATATAAGATAGCAAGCAAAAGTGCTTTGGGGCATACAAAAGTGAATTAGTTGTAATTATAACTATGCAGGTCTCTGATGCAGTGGGAATTTTACCACACAAAATAGATAACTGATTAAATGAATGTTTACCACAACATGTAACAAATTTTAAGCATCAGGTTTTACAAGATAATGTAACATAGATTGTATCTTCAAAAGCAAGTGACTATCTTGAACATTTCAAAAAATACATAATTATCACTTGCCATCTGGTATTTATTTCTCTCATACCTGCACCAATTGACAGCTCACACATCTTTGCTTTTCTTCCTTAGTCTTTTGGATACCTCAGAGAGGTACTTGACTTCTATTTCTCACAAAGTTGATTTCATTCCAGACTTGAGTTTCCAAAGTTATTTTCCTTATTTTGTTTTTGTTTTTTCTTCTAATATAATTGTCCCATTTAAAGAGTATGAAATTCAGTGTTCTTTTCTATATTTACATAGTATTTCATCCTTACTACCATCAATATTAAACATTTTTATTGCTCCAGAAAGAAGTCTTCCATAACCGTTAGTACATAGTCTTCTCATTCCCCTAGCCATTGGCAATACTAACCTACTTTCTGTCTCTATAGATTTTTGTGCTGTGTATATATAATATAAATCATATGCTCTGTGACCTTTTGTGACTGGATTCTTGAATTAATGTAATGTTTTCAAGATTGATTCATCCACACATCAGCAAATGATTCCTTTTTACTACTAATTAATAAATAGTTCATCGTATGTACACCACATTTTGTTACCATTCATCAATAAAAAAATTCGTTTAGATTGTTACCACCATTTTTCCTGGTACAATTAAATGATACTCTGGACAATTCTATGCAAATTTTTGTGAAGTCATCTGTTTTAATCTCTCCTGTATATAACCAGGAGTGAAATTGCTGACTGAATAGTAACTGATGGTAACTCTATGTTTAACTTTTTATTTTTGTTTTTAGTGCTGGGGCTCGGGTTTGAATTTAGGGCATGGGCTCTGTTCCTGAGCATTTTTATTCAAGGCTAACACTCTACCACTTGAGCCACATCTCACTCTGCTTCCAGCTCTTTTGGTTGTTAAAATACTCAGCCTCCTGAGTAGCTAGTATTATGGCATGATCCACCAGCACCTACCTATGTTTAGCTTTTTAAGGAGCTACCAGACTGTCTTCTAATCTGTTTTTTTTTTGTACATACCCATGTATGTATGCACATAACCCCTTTTTACTCATCTATTTACACAGTATATTCATTTTGGCTATATTTGCTTTTCTTGGGACCTCCCAGGTTTTTCCTATCATTTCTTCTTTGTATATTGACTGCATCATGCATTAGGAATGCGTCTCTTTCCCCCCACCCTCTTTCTCTCCCCCAGCTCTGGTCATGGGGGTTGAACTCTGGGCCTGGGCACTGTCCCTGAGCTCTTCAGCTCAAGGTGAGTGCTCTGCCACTTGAGTCACAGCATTACATCTGGTTTTCTGGTGGTTAATTGGCGATAACAGTCTAATGGAGTTTCCTACCCAGGCTAGCTTTGAACTGCGATCCTCAGATCTCAGTCTCCTGAGTTGCTAGGATTACAGGCATGAGCCACTGGCACCTGGTTTAGCTCTTTATTATTCCCCTAAGCCCATGTTTTTGTGTGTATGTGAACCCTGGGACTTAAACTCAGGGCCTGAGTGCTGTCCCTGAGGTTTGTTTTTTTTTTTTTTTCTCAAAGCTAGCCCTCTATCACTTGAGCTACAGGTCCAGGTTCTGACTTTTTTGGTGATTAATTGGGGATAAGAGTCTCACAGACTACCCAGGCTGGCTTTGAACCTGGATTCTCAGATCTCAGCCTCCTGAGTTGCTAGGATTATAGGTGTGAGCATTCAGTACCTAATACCCTAATCCCTTTAAGCCACTGGAGCTTCTAGTTTTTTTTTTTTGAGCTTCTAGTTTTCTATGATTATGTCTATAAAAAGAACACTCTCTTGGAAGATTTATATTTTTTAAATTGTTTTATTACCCAGCTATTAAGAATTTTTCAACCTGAGATACTTATTTTAATATAGACATTCAATATCATGAAGCTAAAAGCAGACACTCTGAAAACATTACAGGATGGAATAGGAGAAACCCTAGGTCTCCTTGGCTCAGGTCGAAATTTTCTGAATAGAGACCCGGAAACACAACAAATCAAAGAAAGGTTGGACAAATGGGATTGCATAAAGTTGCAGAGCTTCTGTAGGGCAAATGACATAGCTAGCAAGATCAATAGAAAGCCCACGGATTGGGAGAAGATCTTTACTAGCCATACAACGGACAAGGGTCTCATATCTAAAATATACTTGGAACTCAAAAAATTAAACCCCCCAACAACAAATCCTCAAAGAAACAACTGCCCAATAAATAAGTGGGCAAAAGACTTGAAGAGAAACTTCTCTGAAGAAGAAAGAAGGATGGTCAATAGACACATGAAGAAATGTTCAACATTCCTAGCCATAAAAGAAATGCAAATCAAAACAACATTGAGATATCACCTCACTCCAGTTAGAACGGCAAAAATCAAGAACTCTAACAACAACAGATGCTGGAGGGGATGTGGACAGAAAGGAACCTTACTTCATTGTTGGTGGGAATGTAAACTTGTTCAACCACTTTGGAAAGCAGTATGGAGGTTCCTCAAAAGATTTCACATAGAACTCCCCTATGACCCAGCAATCCCACTTTTGGGCATTTACCCAAATGTTTACAAACAAGACCACACTAAAGCTACCAGCACAACTATGTTTATTGCAGCATTATTTACCATAGCTAAGATATGGAACCAACCCAGATGCCCCTCAGTAGATGAATGGATCAAGAAAATGTGGTATATATACACAGTGGAATTCTATACCTCCATCAGAAAGAATGACATTTCCCCATTTGTTAGGAAATGGAAAAACTTGGAAAAAATTATATTAAGTGAAGTAAGCCAGGCCCAAAGAAACATAGGTCCCATGGTTTCCCTTATTTGCAATATCTAGTATATGTATGAGTCAAGCGGAAAAGGTCAGATAATGTGATGTAAGGAAAATGAACCCTTAGATATGTATTTTAATGTTTTTTTCTTTCATGCATGTGTTTCTAACGCATTTATAAGATTATCTCTTTGTTGCTTTGTATGTCCCTCCCCCACAGTATAACCCCTGCTTTCACTATATTTGATGTCGGTATAACTTGTGGAGGAGATGGGGAAAAACCAGTTGTTTAAGGATACAGGTGGACCTGTTGCAACAATGAGAAGTACAAGTTGTCATGTCCAAAACGAGCTTTACAACGTCGGTGCAGGGGGGGGGCAGGGGGGGGAAGGAGAAGGATTGGGATTGGGGGGAGGGGGGAGGCTGGGAAGGGATGTGAAGGGTAAACAAAGGAGGAGGCTGCAATGCTTGGTAAGAAATGTACGCATTATCCTGCCCATGTAATTGTAACCCCTCTGTACAGTATGTTCACAAATAAAATTAAATTAAATTAAAAAAAATATCATGAAGCTAAAGGAGAAACCTCATTATAACCAGTAAATTCAGAAACAATCTGAGTGGTTTTAAAAGTTAAAAACATAAAGTATCTTACACTGATTTTTTTCAAGCTCTCGCCGATTAATAAAAAGTATACATTTGAATTCTCCATTTACAGAAAAATAAGTTCTGGAGTGATGTGTCCCTGTTCTAAGTAGATACTATTAACCCAGGATAAGACTCTGACATTTGTTTATGTATTGATCTACTTATTTTTATCAAGAAAGTCAATCTTAAGCAGCACCAGTGGCTCAAGCTTGTAATCCTAGCTGCTTAGGAGTCTGAAATCTGAGTATCAAAGTCCAAAGCCAGCTAGGGCAGGAAAGTCTGAGACTCTTGGTTTCCAAAAAGCCAGAAGTGGAGTTGTGGCTAAAGTGGTAGAGTGAGCACCAAAGCTCAGGGACGGCACTCAACCCTGAGTTTAAGCCCCAGGACCAGCACAAAAAGGAAAAAAAGGAAAAGGCAATCTTTAGCCAAAACTATAATGTGTAATGTTAATTAGTATTAATGTGATAAATAGCCTTTCCATGTACGTAATATTACTATCACATGACAGCATGAAATGTATTAAATGTAGTGTAGGTAGGGATGTTAAAATACTGCAAATATCACTATCAAGAAGAGCTGTGGGGGGCTGGAAAGGTAGCTCAGTGGTAGAGCGCTTGTCTTGTGAGGCCCTGGGTTTGATTCCTCAGCACCACATAAGCAAAAAGAAAAAAGCTGGAAGTGGCACTGTGGCTCAAGTGGTAGAGCACTGGCCTTGAGCTGAAGAGCTGAGGGACAGCACCCAGGCCCAGAGTTCAGGCCCCACGACCGGACCCAATAAAATAAAAAAGAAGAGCTGCAGCCAGGTGCTAGTAGCTCATGCCTGTAATCTTAGCTACTTAGGAGGCTGAGATCTGAGGACTGCTATTCAAAGCCAGCCCCAGCAGGAAAGTTGTGAGACTCTTATCTCCAATTAACCACCAGAAAACAGGAAGTAGTGCTGTGGCTCAAGAGGTGGAGTGTGGTCGCCTTGAGCTGAAGAGCTGAGGGACAGTGCCCAGGCCCAGAGTTCAAGCCCCATGACTGACAAAAAAAGAAGGGCTGCCATTTCTGCAGCTCATATAGTAGGCACTCTGCTAGGTACTTTATATCCATTGATGTTGCTTTTCATCCAAAAATGCCAAATGATGGATATAATTAGCTTCATTTTCCAAACCTATGCATTTTTAT